GCGAGGAACGCTTATAAAGATGGTATATGGCCAATTTTCGTTCAACAAACTATATTTGCAAAAACTGCAAAAGCGAGGAAGCACGTGCTGCTCGAGTACGACTAGTTTCTTTCCAGCACAGTGCAGGTTCGGAGCAGATGAAACTATGGACAGACGTAGCTTGGATCAACTGAAGATTGGTGTGAAGCTATGCGAACACGAGATGAGAGCACGCGGAGTCAACGCCTGTCTGCGAGGCAGAACATACAATTGCTCGGTGTGAAACTGAGAGATCAAAAGACGCCTCTCCTTTCAACGACTTTCCCGATCCGTTCGTGGTCAACACTTGCGTTTCACTGCCCCTCCCACCCGCGCGCGGGAGCTGTGGCAGAGGTGGAGGCGGAGGCGGAGGCGTTCGCGCGAAGTTGCAAGAGAGATTCATACGAGCGGGGAAACGAAAAAAGAAGCTACGCGAAGAAGGAACGCGCGAGATCGGGTGCGGGCACTGAGGAATCGCCGAGCGACAGCCGCCGTTTCCGAGAGCAGCTGCTCCGACGGAGGCAAATCCAGTGCGTGCCCGGACGCCCTCTGGCCCAGCGAGGGAAGGAGTAGGAGCGCGAGGAATACTCAAATAGACGGCCCAAAAGAAAGGGATGCGGACGAAGCGCGTAGGAAATAGGGGAGCAAGGTAATATAAACGAGAGCTAGTTAGCTAACAGGCGAGATGGGCAACAGATCGCAGCTAATAGCAAAGACAACGAACATAATTCAACGTGAAATGATAAATGGACAACGCGACAGGAAACATAAAATAAAAGGAAATCAAGCACATACTCTGATTCATGTAAGAATGCTGTTGCCACCAGTAAGCATTACTTAGGTTGGTATTAACACAGTAAACCCCAGTCCTGAACAAACTGCTTGAGACTTCGGTTTAGTAATTTCACACACGGTTCTATCCCGCAATTCCATTAACAGGGTTACAAAAAGAAGATAAATAGCCCGAATACAATATAAAAAGCATGTTACTACCGCACACTGTCTTCTGAGCCACATCGAGGGCTATGGTTTGGTGGGAATGGTGAACGCAACCAGTTGGTTATGCGGGACGGGGATTGTTCTATAGCCACGCCCGACGGAAATGGGACCACCACTACCATTACAACAACAACAACAACAACAACAACAACAAATGGAAACGCCATGAAAATGAGTTAGTGAAGCGCAACAGCCACAGGCATCGAACGGAGCGGCGAGGCTCGCTCCGCCCGCGGCGGACTGGCAACGAGGCAACGCTCGCGCCGCGCCGGCCAAGGCTGCGGGCGACAAAAAGCCCAAGGCCCGGCGGCGGGGCGGGCGCGGGGGCGCGGGCGGGGGCGCGGGCAGGGGCGGGGAGCGGGGACTGATAAGCGCCCGCGGCGCCGAGTTCCGCCGCGCGAGGAAGCCGCGGAGGCGTCGACGCAGGAGCCGCCATCCAGCCCCGCCCTCGCGCACATTCCTCCTCGCCGAACCAACGCACGCCGCCGACAAAAACGCTCCCCATTGTTTACAAGACGCCACAAATTCCCTGCTCAATTAGACATCGGCAACTCGGTTACAAAATATTTCTAACAAACGAATTGTATTTGAAAACTTATAATTCGATTCATTGATGAAACGAATGCATATAGAATTAACGCAACTAGGCATTTAAAATCACTATTAAAATATTAAGAACTATGACATTTCCTTTCTCCCAAATTATTTTTTGAGACCATATAACATTTCTGTTGATTTGTTTTTCAGTTAATTTATTTTAGTTTTTTTATATTATTTATATGATCAAAAATAATTTAATTAGAAAAATAGTTGGCTACCACTATATTGTGGCTACATCAATAAATTAAATTTGTTAATTACTAGTTCAAGTTTCTGTTAGTGATATTTTGGATATAATTTATTTTCCAACTGTTTAATTGTCACAAATTGACTTCCAAACAACGACGATTAATCTATTACATTTAAAAAAAATAGAATTCAATGAATAAAATTATTTACAACAACCCAAAACGAACGCTATGGAACGCTAGTGCTTCGAATTATTCAGATACCACGCCAAATTCTCTACCCTAAAACGTTATACAGTATGCGGCATTGAATCAGCTGCAATGACATCCAATAATTCGAACAGCACCACCACATTCAGCCGAGAAATATTCCCACAAATCATCAGAAAGATGGAAATGCGCTGCCGCCACCAACGCGCGATTCGTTGGTGCGCTCTCCCGGCGAGTGACGCAGGGCGCGCGGGACAATGGGACTCCGTCGATGCGTCGGCTAATAAAGGCGGCCACCATAAATCATCGTTGCGGCCGCCCGAACGCCAAACTTTACCGGCGGCCACCACGTGCTTAGCGAGCTTTCGCGGACGTGAGGCGAATAGATTTGCGCGGAGGCCGGAGTCATCAGGCCATTTCAGAGGCCCAAGTCGACTCCGCGACCACCACCGCCTCTCCTTCGCACTGCTCATCCTCGGAGGGCAACGGGGGCCAAATGCACACACGAGTTCTAATTTTATGGATGCTCCTAAGGGCATTCCGAACGCGAAGAATATGCAAGCGTAACGAAATCGGAAGCAGTGAAAGACACGCCAAATTCATAGGAGGAATACATTTATCCTGTGAAATAAGTTAAATGTGACACAGTGCCTTTTACCCTTGAAGTGCAGATTTTATCGCGCCAGTGGACGATCGAGTTCCGATCGTGTCAGTTCATTTTTTAATATTATGATTTATTAAACAGCCTTGATTGTTTCCAGGAACACTTCAGAAGTCGAGTCTGAAATTCAAATTACCTTCGGCTTTTACGACTGGTGCGATTTTTCAAAAAACACACGCACGTAAAACACTGTAGTAAGAAAACTTGAAGATGATTTTAACACACTGACCTTTGAAACATACGACTGGATAAGAGAGACTAGTTACGGGAACTCCTCTTTCCATTAACTCGGACACTGAGCGAATAGGAATTTATGTAAAGCTCTCAAATTACAAATAAGGTTTTTAAATAGCGAAGGTAGAATACAAAAAAGATTTCATAAGCTAAGAAGGAAAGTGAATAACCTAAAATCGCTGTAAGACGACTTAAACAACCAGTGACGTAGCTCCGACTGACACACGTCAGATGGGGGCGATAAGTTAAGAGCTTCAGAAAGGAGCAGCACGGGGAGGGGTTGCGGCCAGAGAGTAAGGTGCCATGAGAGCGAGTGCCGACGCTCTCCCACGCCGCCTTCCTGCGAACACGCACAGCGCGCGCGGGCCGTCACGCCCCTTACATTCCAGAAGGCGAAACGACTCCGCGCGTTTGATTGGCGGCGCCGTCGAGGGCAGGCGCGGGGACCGCGTCTAATAAACGGAGATTTGCGATGCGCCCCTGGATTACATATTGATCACCTGTCGCCCGGCGACGAACACACAAAGGGCCCGGGGACGCGCGCCTCGCGAGGCAATCAGCCGGCGGCGGGGGGCGGGCAAGACGCGCGTGCACGCCGATTGCGGAGTGTGAGGGGGGGGGACACGGAAAGAGACGAGCAAGCTGTTATAAACGGATTAAGAGTGTGATGAGAATAACAACGCGTGAAGAGCAAGAATAATCCAAATCATAGACTTGTAAATCTTATGGCAAAGAGTACGGCACGTTCCTTACTCGAGGAACCAACACAAGAAAATGGATGACTACAGTTGTTATCATATTCCGAATTACAGAAGCTGTCATATTTAGGAACATATGAATAAAAAGTTGTTAAAGAAACAAACGAATCCTCAACATTTTTCAGTGCTACAGTTCTACACTACCCATCATCTATACTTTTTGAGTTGGAATTGCCATTCCGTTTTCACAAACGCATTCCCACGATTCCTCGTACAGGGGCAGTTGGTAGAAACTGATTGAACAGGAGAATGTGCGATCGCCTGACTGGGACGGCGCGCGGCGTCGGCGGCGGGGGAAGGCGACAGCTGCGGGGTAACGAGCGCGCCGTGACAGCGGAGATAACGCGGCGGGCGGCGATCCCCCGAGCCCCGCCTGCTCCGCCCACTCGTCGCTAAGCCCTAATCCACTGCCAGACGAGCTCCTCGCGTGGAAAACGCGCCCGCCCGCGCCGAAAATCGGGTGGAGTAACCATCCACAGCGCACAACAGTTATAGAAATGACGTGCCTGACACGGCGAACCAAAACTGCGATACTGCAAAAATTAAACTAGCGCCTAACAGCAGGAATGAAAGCAAATATGCACGTGCCAGGTAGCATTTTTCAGTTTTTGAAGCTATTTTCTTTGTAATAAAAGGATCGGGCATTTTGCACATTATGTCAGCGTTCTATCTATGGTGATAAATTTGTTGATTGATGTTTGGGGGGCTTCAATTGCTACAGCGAGTCCCGTAAGTGTAATGTATGTTTTATCGCGGAAGGTGCCGTTGGTCTCCCACCCTCGCTGGATGGCGAAATCCGGCTCCAACTAGTCTCCCGACCATGTTAGGTACAGGCATGCAAGTAAGGCGTGAGGCTAGGACAAGGAAGAGGAAGGAAAGATCGTGTGCGGCCCATGGCCCGGATTAGACACGGCTCCGGGATTCACCGCCTGTTGTTGATGGGAGAAATCTCGGAACACCAGCCGAGTGGCCGACCGTGAGAATTGTCCTCACACATCGGCGGAATTTGGTCTAGCTAGTGCCGAAAATAGTGCATCCGTTGGGGCGCGAACCATAGGACCTTGCAGTCAGAAGAACTCAAGCGACATCAGTTAATGCCTTGAGCTACCCCAGCCGGGGTTAAAATTATAGACATACAATTATGTTTTGATCAAGATTTTAAAAAAATATTTTAAAAAAATAGTCCTTTTTGTTACATTTCCCTGCGATACACATTTCCCTAAGAAATTAAAATACGTTATATATCACGTGTATTACGTTATATGCCATTCTTCATTATTCCTGCAATATTCACTTCACCAATGTAGGAGAAACTGATTACTTCAACTGAAAATGAACTTAAAATTAGATAAGGTGGTAAGAGGTATCAATAGACACGTTTTTGCCTTCTCGAATCACTGCAAACGAAACTGTATAATTTATATTTAAAGGGCTTGTGCCTGATACGCCAGAGCAAGCCTCTCTCTATTCGTAAATGCAGCTCGCTTTATATTTGGGGAAAAGAGGCTTATCTTTTTATTAGATATGTATTGTTCAGATTTATGAAGGCTTTGGAGTTATAACGAGATGAGACACTTGAACCAAAACTGCGATACTGAATTCGTAACTGGTGTGGCGCTTGCCATGGCGTATCTTGTAACTGCCCCACGGCACTCAATTATACATAATGAATAAGTTGCGTAAAAAATTCCCGTGAATTGAAACGGGGCGAAAACCGCGCCATGTGAGTGGAGCCTTCAAAGGGTCCGGAAGAGGAAGCGGGCCCGTTTGATGCCCGTGAGGGGGCGGGGGCGGCAGGGACGGCGCGGCCGGGCCCGGGCAGGGGCCCCGGCGGGCCACCAGTTGCTGGCGGGCGGGGGCGGCGGCGCGTGCGCGGGGGGCGGGCGGCGCTGGCGGCCTGGCCTGGCCTCGCCGCGCCTCGACTCGCGTGGCTGGCGCTGCTGCGCGGCGCTGCGACGCGGTGGCCGTGCCGCGCCGGCGCCGCGCGCCGCCAGTCGGACGCGGACCTGCGCGCGCGCGCCACGCGACGCGACGCTACAGCGACGTGCGAACGCAGAGCGGGCGGCGGCGGCAACGGCGCCTGCTGCGAGGACTGCACGGCCACCGCGCTCACAGCGAGCGATTGCCTCACGCACCACAAGGTATGCGCGGCGCCCATCACCGCTCCCATTACTTCCCCCCCCCCCTCTTCCGTTTTCACTAGTGCTCTCCATGGCAAGATGGAGCGAGTTCAACAAGTGAAAGTACTTTCATTGTCCGACAAAAAATGCCGAAGGAAGTTCTAGAAACTGTCCCTCCTTACTTTATTTGCAACTTACGATAATGAAATGCTATTTTATTAAACTGAAAAGCCAGAATCAAGCCGTTTTACCAAACGCAGCGACAGGAGGGAGAATGTACTCAACATTTTGTTTTTCGTAAACATTCCAATGTAGTGTAAGTTTCGCAAGAAGTGAATCATACCTGTAAACTTCAGTTTCGAGGCCCACTCTTAAAAACCCCTCCTCACATTTCATAGAGCAGTGGTTTGGGCAGCGTAAGGATCGAAGTGAAGCGGCGGGCGGGGGCCATATCCCGGCGCCAGCGCGCGGCACTCCAGTCACCGGGCCAGCGATGGCCGGCGCACCTCAAAGGCTGCGGGCCGGCCACGGTCATCTTGTTACGGCTCCGAGCCGCCCCCCCCCCTCACCCAATTATCCAAATATTTCCCCCGCCTCCTCCGCGCGCCGCGTCCGCCTCTGCGAAAACCCGAACGGACATCCAAAGCCAGCTTCCTCCTCCGCACAGCGAATTCGACCAGCTTCAGGAAGGAGACACTTCAAACGCAAACAAGTGAATCATGTGGCTTCAGTTGTAAAACGCCTGCTTTCACGATTTTGCTTTTTTCAAAAAGTACAATTTCACGCACAATACGATTATATCGCGTCTTATCTAAACTATATCAACAGGCGGGCACGTTCCCATTCGTCATCGTTCGCAGATGAACAAAAAACATTAATGTTAACATTGTTTTTAGTCCGCTCCACGGGCAAGTAATTCCCTTTTCAATATCCGACTCCGGACCTTGAAAACTCCTTCTAAGAATGTTCTTCTCTCATCGTCAGGCTTCACTAATCTGCAGCACCAATTTCGTCTATAAATTATTCCTTACACATTCTTTTTCATGTCTCGTTTACCTGCATTCGTGAAATATTGGAGGGATAATCTCAGCTTACAGAAACAACCGATTGTTTGTGCAGTTCCGCTCACGCTCGGAAAGAAAAACAAAGAAAAAAGTTGTATGGATTACGCTGTCAGGACAAACATCGTCATGTGCATAAAATCAATACCGATACGCTTAGAATCACACATGAGAAGCTCCTCTGCCCTGTCTCCCAAATCGCCACACACATCGAGTACAGTGCGGTATATTCTAAGAACATGAGATTGACGTAATTGGATATGTCACTCACACCCATCACAGCACGGACGTGTTATTGGCATAAGCGGTTGCTTTAGAAAGGCAAATTTGGATAAAAAAGATAAATCTTCACAAAATATATTTTCCCGAAACCACAAATTCACCACCATAATTCACAGCAGTTGCATTTTCACCTTCTTAAACGGTTTTAAATAAATTTATCACTGCATTTTTACGTGCATACATTTGTACACCGGAATAGATTTCGATCGCTGTTACTTCACGAAAAATGTGAACAATTATCTACGTTCTACGAAGAATTTTTAAAAAAAATAACGAAACAGCGTATTTGAGTGTTGTATTTTATTCATAATCCCGAAACCAATTCCACAAGTTAAAGGAGAACTATCACCTTTCTAACAATTACTGAGAGTAGCAAAATGTAACTATGTTACATTTGTAATGTAACCATGTACTTTCAAAGATATGATGAAGAAAATGATGAAAGATTTAGATGAAAAGTAAAAGCAACTACATTAAAAAACCCTATGGTTTTTGTTTTAATAATCACGACTAATTGTCAATGTTAGTGTGCTTTTCAAAATAGGCTGTTATTGAATACAATTGCATAATGCATTATCTCTTATACAGGGCCGTCTCCATTCATCATTTAGTAGGAAATGTAGGCTACGCGAACGAATTACCTCATGTGTTTCAAGCGAAGTGACAAATAGTTTTAGTATCCTGGAATATCAGTGATTCACGATCTTTAAGTGTGTGTTTGGTTCTGGAGAAATAACAGTATTCAATTGGAGTGCATTTCTCTTGATACTAGAACGATAGCAAGAACGTGAATATTTTTTATTGATTACTTATTGTGAAAGACAGAGGTGCCACTACAATGTAACATAATTAAACATACTGCACAGTAAAAAATATTTAAATATAAGACATCAGATTTTTCGAATGAGTCACGGTACATACAATTTTTAACTTCACTAAAACCAAATCAGCGCCGTTCTTTAGAAAACTGTGCCTACTAATTTTAATAAATCCTACTAAAATTAACTTTTCATTATCTCTTCAGTTAATGCACGCTTCGCTTGTTCAGAATGTAGTAAAGTGCATCTTTTTTGTTTTCTTTGCGATTATATTCTCGCGTATTGGATATAGCTTTAACTTCTGTATACATAGTAAGGCTATATAAGATGATTTCTTATAGAAATGTAGGATGCATTTTGCCTTATGTCACAGGTGATATAAAGAAAAATGGCTAAAAAATATAATTTCAAACTTGCGCTACGTAATGGCGAGATAATTACGAGAAAGAAGAAATCCTGGAGCCGACGGCAGCGCCAAGCGCACTCGTCGCCGCCAGAGCAGAGCCGCGAGGGCCTCGCGACGCGGCGGTGGGCCGATATTTACGACGCGCGCTTCCGGCCGCGGGGCCTTCCGGCGCGGCGCGGCCAATCCATCCGTCAGTCGGCGCGCCGATCCGTCAGCAGGCGCGCGTGGGCCGCGGGCGCTGGCGCCCATCTGCGCCGCCCCGCAATCAGGCGGACGCTTCATTAGCCACGCGCGTTAACTCCCACGCACGGACAACGAGGAAGAAAAGCTACAATTTCCCCCCTTCCCTTGTCAGCAGCTGATCTAACGTTAATACAGCGACATTCCCCGCTTGATTCCATTGCGTCACCTGCCTCGCGGATCGAAGCATTGGATATTTTTATCTCATTTACTACCTTTCCGCGAATCTAGTTTCATTTACGTTCACAACGTAGCGTAATCAATCCATTCTATGAATGTGCAACCAGACGAGCTTTTTTCCCCATCCGTGAACTCATGACGGTAATTCAGTAATTAACTCGTCTGCCAAGGAACAGAAAAACAGTATGCGTGTGCGGGCATCCAATCAATGACCGTAAGATTGAGGCAGCGACCTTCAGACGGCTGCAAACTGAAGGGGAAAAAAAGAAGAAAACTTTATTGAATTCCAGAAGAAGCGGTTGCGATAAGGCGTCGCCGCGGCGCGCACTGCGTGTGGGGCTGCGTTGGGTCGCGTAATGACGCGCGCCTGAGGGCTGCGAGCGAGCCGGCGAGGGTCGCGTGCGTGAAGCCGAGTGCACCGGCGATCCATCAATCCGTGGGGGCGCCCTCCGGCCCCCGATCGATCTCTGGCGACACTTGTTTGCGTCCGCCGCTGATCGACGCCCCGCCCCCGCCCCGCTCCTCCGACTCGGCGGCGACGGCGACGGCGGCGCCGGGCGAAACGCAGACGTTGCGAAGACGCGCTCTGCGAACCAGGCCACGAGGACGCACATTATGGAGCGACTAATTGCGAAAACGCATGCTCATCGAACAAAAATTACATTTGTCAAACCGATAAGATAAAAGGATAATTAAACCCGTTCGTAGCAGCGCCCTCAACCGAGCGCCGTCGTCTGTCGTCTGCCAGTCGCGCCGGCGCGGCCGGAGAAGTAGCAGCGGGACGCAAGTGGCAGCGGCCAGCGGCCGGGGCGGTGGAAGTTTGAGCCGGCCGCCGCGGCTGGGGAGGGGGGCGGGGGCTGGGCGTCGCCTTGGAAGAGCGAAGGCGGAAGCGGAGCGGCGGGGAGGAGGGATCGCCGCGGGCGTGCGGCAAGGTCCACCCATTCGACGCAGCGCCGTTGCCGAACGGCGGGCGATTTCCGGGCGGAAGGCGCCTCTCTTCGGAATTGGCGCAAGGGGAGCGGCGGCTGGGAGTCGCTCTTCGGCGCGCGGGGGCCGGGGCAGGGGCGGGGAGGAATCGCAAAGAGCGGAGTGGCGCCGAGAGGTTCCCGAGAGCGCTCTGCGGGGCCGCCTTTCGATTTTAAATACTGACGCGCGCGGGGCGAGCACGGACGCACCTCCCCCCCCCCTGGCGCCACAGTCGATAGCGGCATAAAGCGACGCGCCATGAGCGCAAGGCGCAGCATTGTACATTAGCGCATGACGCTGCACACAGCCCTCAAAGTGAAACGCGTCTATACATACACAGGATATCTAAAAATGACACGAACAAGCATGGGCGCTCTGTCACATGTACTAAATGTTAATTCTCAAACTGCCTTTTATCACATCTTTATATTCGTCTATCTTTACCAAAATAAAACAGCAATACGAAGTTGCGTACTTGGTATTTTTATATGCACTTCAGTCAGATACGTTGACAGACGGTGAACGTTTTAATATTAAGTATTAACTTTGCGTGTGAATGCTTTTGGTAAGTCAAACCAGCATTTGCAACGGCCGATGTTAGAGTTGAAAACGCAGCGACGTGGATCCACACTCACTTACCCTACCAGCCCTCTCACCGTAAAAGATTCCGTCCGACGCGGGAGTTTCCGCGCTCTCGACAGCGCGCGAGGGCGAGGGCGAGGGCGAAGGAACGAAACTCCGCGGCGGGCGGGCGCGCGTGCGGAAGCAGCAGGTGCGAACTTAACTTCTTTCCCGTTGTGTCGCATTCAATGGACCTCCGCCCCCACCCGCGGCCCCGACTGCACTTCGCCGTGGAACTTGGAGCGTCCCGCCGCGTCGCGCTCGCCGGCAGCGGCGAACTTCGGCCGCGCGCCGACCCGATCCACGCGCCGGCGGGGCGGAGGGGAGGGGAGCGGAGCGGAGCGGGGCGAGCAGGTTGTTTTTGCGCGGATCGGCCTAGCGATGAATACGACGTGGCAGGCGCCGGCCTCCGCCCGGCGACCACATCGCTCTCCCAGGAAGCGATCGCGAGGGGCACGCGACCGCCGCCGTCGCTCGGGCGCGCGCGCGCACACGCCGCCCGGATCCGCTCTGCGCGCGGCGATCGACGAGATAAATTACGCGATACGCGAACGAGTTCAAAGCAGGCGGCCCGCGCCGTCACCCAGACAGACAGGCCCAGTCGGCCCGCCCGTCGGACCTCACGCTGCAATCGCCCGTGCGCACCACGTGCATTCCGACAGACGGAAAGAAAAACTTACACTGGCAAACTATCAAAACCAATATTTTCAACACTCCTCGACTACCATACACACGCAGCGCACCGCACTTGAGCGGCAACTTCTTCAAAGGTGTTATGAAGTGTACCGCACCTCGCGAAGAAGTTCACTGCCGGGATAAATTACCTCGGCGGAGTTCAAAGCGCGCGTGCGTTCGCCGCCGCGAACGCGCGCGAGGCTCGCGGTGCGCCTGCCTGCCTGCCTGTTTGTCTGCGGGCAGGCCGCGCCCTCCACCCGGGCGAGAATTATGACCGGCGTAACTGCGAATTACCCGCGTCCCGTGGCCCTGCATGAAAAATTCATCGGCGGCTTTCGCAGCCCCCGGGGCGAAGAGCTTCTTTCCGCGCCCGGCGCGAGGCGGCGGGCGAAAGGTCGCGGGTTCGTGGTGGCACCGGCCCGAATAATCTCCTCGCTGATAAAGACAGTCTCCGCCGTGGCGTCGGTCGGAAGGAGGGGACGACAGGGGTTTGGGGCGACACAAAAAGGTACGGAAGCACGAGGAGAATGATAATGAAAGAGGTGTGCAGGCATTAATGTCACCGAACAACACTTAATACGCACAATAATAGTAAAGAAGGACCTTGAAGAGTCGCTTGCGTGCCGGAAAAATATAATAATAATAATAATAATAATAATAATAATAATAATAATAATAATAATAATAATAATAATATGATAAGCAAATTAATTAATTATTACTTCAATTACTACTATTGATAACTCATTTGCATTCTATTCAAGTCACACATTGGTAGAAAATTCTGAGTAAACGTGAAATCAGTGAAGAATTTAAGAGATGCGCCTGCAAATTCATGTACACGTCTTCCTCTGTTCCGCATTCTCACTTTTCAAAGCTACACGGAGAAGGGATAACGTGACCCAGTTTCTACTCCGTAGTGTGCATCGACGTTAATTTTCAGCGAAAGTGTCCGTTCCTTGGCAACGCCTTCGTCTGCGCAGCGCGCAGGTCAAGGGCCGCGGCGCGCAGAGGTCAAGGGCGGGCGCACGGCCACCGGAAATCCACCGGCGCTCGCTCGCGCACCTTCGCGACGCGACGCCGCTCAGCTCCTTCCGGGCGCGTGCGCCGCGGTCGATGCGCGGAAATTCGAGAGGAACTCCCGACTGCGTCTGCTGAGCCGCACGGGGGGGGGAGAGGAGGGGGGGAGGGGTTAGGGGGGGGGGGAGGAAGCGGCGTTCGAGATGAACGCCCCGGAAGGATTGCTGCGCGGAAGGGGGGAGCGAGGGGAGCCGGAAGTCGGCTCCGGCATCGGCTGCTGCCGCCGCAGCCCGCGACGCCGGAAGTAGGTACTGCACGAATTCCTTCAACCCGACAGCCTTTCTGAAATGCAAATGTTAATCAAAATATTCAACGCAGAATACCATAACCGATTAAACGCGATTCTGCTGCCTCTAACAAGAAGTAGCATTTAACAAGTTAATTTTGTGAAAGGAATTTTCATCGAGATGTTTTATGAAATTTTTCAATATTCGAACTTTCCATTTAGAGACATACTAGCGTGTTGGGCTCACACAGCGAAGCTCGGTGCATTCCATATTCCTCAACAATTTCATTTGTATGCACTGTTCTTGTAAAACAGGAAGAACGCGACCCCATTTTCCAACGCCTGTATTCGGTCCCGGTGGTGCTGTAGCCCTCGTGATACTTTGTCGAGGGAGAACGGGATGTTGAACCGCGTTCCTCGCAGGGCGCATGAGTGTGGGCGCGGCGTGCAGC